CCCCCACTAGTCTTCAATCTCCAAAGTCCCACATATGGAAACACTTCAGGACCTCAGAGGAATTTGCAACCAGCGCAAAGGCCTCCCTTCTTTTCCCTCGCCATCTCAAAGCAACCAAGTCTGCTATTTTGGGAGAGAAACCCCATAAAAATTATAGGTCGGTGACATTCCCAGTACTGTTGTTTGAAAAGTAACTTGCTGTCTTGTTTCTCGGTCCTCCACCCTAACTATTGCAGCGGTAGAGAGCTCGGTTAGATTGGACTGCCCATCTCATCCAACGATTTATTTCCCTCCATAGCTGTTTTGAGGTACAGTGCTAGATATTGATACCGAACTGAGTTGCTTTCTGCAATTCTCTTAATCCAGCCTCCAACAACCTGGTGTCCTCCAGGGAGGTCAATCTTTGACTTTCATAAGCTCCATCTGGCCATGGCACTTATTATAGGAGTTATAGAGGTCCAAGTCCTGATACTTGCAGAAAGCACCATTAAGGATGGCTGGGGTATTCCTCAAAAACCATGTAAGCTCATGGTCATTGTCATACCTTACGGCAGTGACTTCTGCAGAGTAATGCTACATAACAACCTGCCTGCCAATTTGTTTTAGTAGGTGATGACTAACTATAGTATTGTGAGAAAAGAAACATTCCTACCCACTCCAGTAAATGCTTTTATAACTGCTCCATATTTCTCCTACCCCCTTCCTTGCCTTCAGTGCCCTGGCTATATTGACTTTCCTGAAATAACTCCCACTTAATTCAGTAGGACATTGGTAGATCAGAATCAGGGAATGTTGTTCTCCAGATGTTGTTCATGGTGGTCTCCTTTAGCGATGGGTGTTGGGTGGGAAATATAATTGAGCAAATTCTATGAAGTTACATGTTCCTCTGCTTATACTTCACTGTTCAGGAGTAAAGCCCACTGAGTTCTATGGAATTTAGTCTCAAGGTCCTCTATCTAGGATTGCAAATTTAGATGGATCCCGAAACATCCTTAGGTATCTCATTAAAGCAAGGGGGACTTAGGTCATGACTGAGCTGTTCATTCAAAAGGGATATTATAGATACAAAGTAACCACTCTGGACTGTTAATTCATAGGAACTACTCTGCAGATACAAAGTATCTATTAAATCAAAGGAACTGCTTTTTCGTTTGTTTTTTTGCACTGTGTGCAGGGAACTGCGATCCCACCCGTAGATCAGGAATAACAGACTTCAGGCCTTCAGGATTTGCTGTCTCTTGGCACGAAACCCCCAAGATCAGCCAGCTTGAGCCACAAGCAAGCTAATGGAACTGTTCAGCCCCCCAACTATGCCTTGATACGTTACGGCTTAGTCTGTGTTGTGCAAATCACCTGCCGTTTCAGGTAGCTTGATTTGGGATGCTACGCAAAGCGAGACTGAAAATTCAGGAATGTGAGTTTCTTGAGCAGCAGCTGGGGGTGGAAAGGCCGGAGGGTGTAATGGGAAGGCACGGCTGAACTTCAGCCCCTGAAATGTTCTTTGCCTAGTGGAGGTGCAACAGCAGTACCGTATTTTCTTGTTTTCCTACCCCGCCACCCCCAGTTGTAGGCATTGATCAACTCTGCGTACCGATATCAAGGAGGTAAAATGTTGCTGCGCTCGAATGTAGGTTGATTAGAACTTTTTAAAATGTTGGCCGATTTTGGCTTCATATCCACCTACAGCCGTTAAGAAGTCTGTGCACACTAACATCACTGCTTTTGGGATGGGGGGAGACTGGGTACCGCTTTACCTATGCCAGGGACTACATTTCCCAAGGTGCTCTGCATCCCTTGGAAGGCGGCGATTGGCCATCAAGCGCTCGGAAAGGCGGTTTTCAGTTTCTGGCAAGACTCTGTGATTGGAGGGCGCACCCGGCGAGGGGAGGGGCAGAGCGGGGGAGGTCTGTGGTCTTATAAGGCAGTTCTAGGATTGGCCCCTGGCCTGTTGAAGGGCGTACCAGCGGGGGCAGTGATTGGCTGGAGCAGGGGGGGGTGGACCCTTAGTGCCTGCGGGAGGGGAATGCTAGCTGCCAAGCCAAGCCGGAGAGCCAGCTGGTCCCGCAGCCGGAGGTATGATCCCTGGGAGATGCTGCAAGGATGGAGCCCAGCGGGGTGGAAGCAGCTTACCCACGGCTCTTCAGCGTTGCACAACGGTAAGGAACAGTGGAGACCGGGGGGGGCAGGGCCAGTGGAAACCCCGCCCACCAATGGGCGTGGCCTCATCTGCTTGTGGGCGGGACCTCGTGGAGCCCGAGGTGGTTGTGCAACCCTCCCTAGCCTGGAGATGGGCGACAGTTCTCGGGGGTGGAGGATGATGAGAATTGTAGTCCAGTGGATGCGGAGCACCAGGATGCGGCGGAGGGTGCTCAGAAAGCGTGGCGGTGGTGCATTCCAGGGGTGCTGCTCCTCCACCTTCTTCCTCTGGCCATCCTTGGAAATCCCTGGTGGATTTCTTTGCTCGGGTCCCCGGTGGGGAAGAAAAATGCTCCAACCCTTGGAGTGCTGCAGCAAAAGTCCTTGAGGGCTGGAGGAAAGAGAGCCCCACCTTCCTCTCGCTGGCCATAGTGATGCTCTGGTCCGTTAAAAGACCCAGCGGTGCTTTTCCAAAATAGGTGACGCTTGATTGGAGTCAATCTCCATTAGATTTCTGGAGGCTTAATCTGGGGTGGCAACCCACTTGTTGGGGTCTTTGACTCAGGGTAGCGTGTGCACCCAGAAAATGGGCTTCTTCAGGAACCGGATTAGTAGGTTGTGGGGACAGGATGACATTGAATTCCCCAGGGGAGTTGCCAACCGAAGTGTACACACCCTGGATCATAAACTCAGGGCCCACGCTCTCTCTGCACCCCCTTGTATAGGTCTAGACTTTGCTTTTCAGCCTGCTGACTTGGTTCCTCTTGCCACTGACCTGGGTTACCTTTGAAATCCCCCCCCCCCCCACCTTTTGTGTGGGGTGGGTGCGGGAGGGTGGGGGGGGGGGGGGGGGG